TGCATAAAGACGAATGAGTTTCTGACAGGAGAATATAATTCCAAAGGTATTTTCAACCAAACATATGCACTTGTTGAAGAAGCATGCAAAACTTTTAGTTATACTTGCAATTGTAATAAACTTTATATCTACGAAAACTCACTTTTATCTTGTTTCTCCAGTATTTCAACTTCATACATAATTCCACGTCTCTCCATGGTTTGTATTAATGACAGTTTACATTACATCTTTTCCAGTTTCTAGCCGATCAAATAAGATAAACAAGTTTTTTTTTAGCATTCTTTTGTTCAGTGAAAGCGACATTATTGTATAAGCACTTAAATTACCTAATGTTGTTCTATTTTCATAAACACTATGGTTTCAGAAGGGCTTACATTTCGAGAAAATTGCGTAAAATTTCACTCTGTTTCTTGGTTTATTTAAGGTAGATTAAACTTTTACAAACTCAGGAAGTCAAAATTTATTGAGTGTTTATTTTATTCTCTTACTAAATTTATTCCATATATATTTTCAAGATTAAGTTCAAGTTGTATTTTGAACTTTTATTCTGATATGTATTAGACTGCGTGACTCTGTTTGCAATTTAGTGACATATATCTGATGTAAAGAAGCCTGTCATCTTCAGTTTTCTTTAAAAATAACTAGTGAGTATTTATCTTACTTAACTAAACTTTTATTCAATTGACATAAAATAACTGAATTATAAAAAAAATTTATTCTAACCATCTTAAAACTGGCTTTAATGACACCAGTCAACTATACTATAAAATCACTTTACATAAACGCAATATCAACATAATTTATATACAAATATTTGTAGAAAGCTTGAAATGTTATGCTTGTGGATTAAAACAAGCCAATTTTGTTACAATTATGTTTGACAAATTGCTAATGGAAAATAACTTTAAAATCAATACTTCTTAGACAAGCTGATATTTCATCGAATTTCTTTAGTTTCATCATTATACAACTTTAAAATTATTGAAGCGTTAAGAATAATTGAGTTCAGTAGAAACAATGAATGTCTAAAATTATTTTCTAGATTACTTAGACTCTCATAATTGTTTGAATAGAACACGTTCTCTTTTCTCTCTCTTTTTTTCAGTATCTGCTGTAAGAAACAGATTGGATTTTAAAAGATCTTATTCATTACTGTTTTATTGAATTTCTTGGTTAGTGTGCATTAAAAAAGACTAATACTCACTGAAAAAAAATTAAAGGTGTTGAAAATTAGAGACAAAACGGTGAACGTCTATAATCAAACATAAGCAACACTTAAGTAAACTGTAAATTAAAAGGTGTGAACAAAAAGTAGTTAGTTGACTTCATTAACTACATAAGAAATACTAACTCGCAAGCCAACTACTGACAGGTACCCTTAGTTTTAAAAGACATTGGTGCATTCAGTTGTCCCATTGCGTACCGTAGTCAATTGTGCCAACAAACTAGAAGAGCTAGTCACGTTAGTCATAGTTTACATAAGGCACTGAATAATTCTTCCAGTAGTAATCATTTGATTTTGATATCGTTTGCTGAACCAAGTCGAATAGAGAGATTGTGACTTGATTCCAGTCTCAGTGAAAACAAGATTTTTCACTGATAGGAAGCAGCTATCGGACGACGAGGTCTATGTAGGACGGAATGTGCGTGCTGCATTCCATTCCTAGCAAGTATCTGTCATTAGTACTAGTTGATTCATCTTTTCTGAAAAAAATGCCAAGTTCCAAATATAGAGACGTTGACAAAAGGTTGATGGAAACCCTATTAAATAATAGGCAGTAGTAATGAAGTAGGTGCTACTGATGGGAATGGACACACGTAGTACATGTTGAGAGGTCGGAAGAAATAATAGGCAATTACCAAGGACGGTTAAATATCATGCCCACCGGAACAAAAAAATAAAAGACCTTTAGTGAAGAGTTACTCTTTTCAGTGATATCATTCTCAAGCTGTATAGTCGCATGCATATATATATATATATATATATATATATATATATATATATGCCAGTGTACAGCTTGAGAATGATATCACCGAAAAGAGTAACGCTTCGTTAAACGCCCTTTGTTCTATGACTTGATGGGGATTTTTAAATTATTGAAACGCTGCAAGGACCCCGTAATGGTAAAGGGGCTGAGTGGATTCCTCCGTTTTTTCGCCAAGCCTGCCATAGCGAGAACTAAGATCATGTTTTTAAGAAACTGCTTAGATAGACAAGAATATCCCAAACTGTATTGGAAATTACTTGGACAAGACCACATTCAGCCAAACTCAAAGACTGTGAAGCGTCATGCACTTAACCATATAGACTAAATAAAATCAGGTACTACTGAACTCGGAGATCTACAGGTGAAAACTAACAAGTTGACAGAAGAGGTAGAGCAGCGAGGATGGGACTTCAAGTGAACGTAGAGAAGACGGAGGTGATGATACCTAACCAACGCCACAACCACCAACAATAACAAGTTCCAATCACCATCAACGGAGAAACTCAAAGCAAGTAGTCTCTTTCACCCATCAAGTGTGTTATAGATCTGATATCTTTAGTGTAAAAAGAGTCTCGAAAAAGAGATGACCATGGTCGAAAACTGCCTCTATGGAGACCGACATCAACGAAAATCTTTTGTTATGTTCAAAACCATGTTAACTAAAGATGAACAGTGGGATGCAGTGGGCAAGATACCTTTAAATAAGAAATCATTTGCTCGAAGAAGACAAGGTTTCTGAGGAATCTTATTCACACATAAATTGATGCCTTGAACAGGAACTTTCCAGATGCTAAGTTAGTCACTCTTCTGCAAACAACCTACTCACTGAGATCATGAAAAGTTGGAAAGTCCCCTTTTCCTGTTACCTCCAATCGTACAAACTAATTCACATTTACATGCAAAAACACATACATTGGTAGAACGGAGAGTGATATATTTTTTGACAGTTTTCACGAAATCTCTAACTCTAAGTCATCAATGTCTATGAAGATTTACTGCTCGTCACCTGAATAATAGTGAACAGTGAAGTTGATTTCCATAAACCATAAGAAATTACGATTTATCAAATGAAGTTTGAAATTGACAAATTGAAATGAGTTGCGAATTGTATGAGATGAAACTTACTTTCTTCTGGGCTCCAGTATTGTTACAAACAACTAAACAACACGATGGTGCGGTGATCCTGTCATGTTGAGAATAGGTCGTGATGGTGTACCTTCTTTTCAAGTTTACTGACGTTTTGAGATTTACCTAAGCAAACCGCCAGTTCATTTCCAGTCAAACTACACATGGAATACTAAAACTAGTTATTGTTTGGTGAAAAAAATGAGTAGGAAATTGGTTTCTTGTACAATTTTGTTAGTCTGAGTCTGACATAAACATTAGAAAATACCAATTACAAGAATTTGTGCAAAATCATTTGTCAGACTGACTAGCAACAGATCAAGAAATAACGCAAACTGGCGGCTGCGATATTTAAGGTTCATTCAACTGAACTAACGTTTATGAGTTAATTGATTATCATAGATAATTTAAGGGTAGTGCATGGCTGTGGAAAATCCGGGATATCTTAAGTAGTTTACAGAATATCACAAGGTAACGAATCTGCTTTTAACTTTGAAGGTCAAACTCACTGTTTTACACTATGGAACTGTCGGTTTTCAAACGTGGAAACCTACTAGATATCCTTTAGTCAAGACAATCGTTCAAGTAGAATCAAGAAGTCTATGGTTTAAAATTCCTTGACAGTCAATTTGATTTTCTATGGTTTATTCTTACCCTGTGAATATCAAGTTTTTTCATCTTACAGATTTTTATATCTTTGTATATCCAGTATATCTTAGCAATGATATGTCCATGGCAGCCGAAAAAATCTTCAAGACATATCAAATGAAGGTGAATGTTGCCAGTTTCCATTGAAATTCTACTAGGGAGTTAACAGGAGTCAAAACCTACTGGAAAATTTGTGAAAAATAGTCAGTGCTAGGCTTATCACCACGTACGACTACTTACTAGTGTTACTGTGACTGGGTTCCAGTATAATGTGTATTTTTGAACATATGATAGGCTTTTATCAGAATATAGACTTCAAAAGTGACTACTTTCTTAGGGAATATTTCTAACTGTATAATCTAATATTCATGATAACTGGAGGAGAGGGGGGGTTACTTTATTCTTTGATAGCAGTTTAGTGGTGTGTCCATTGTCATCATGTTTTACACACTTTACATTTACTTACGGTAATTTCAAGTTAGGTTGTAAAGCACCTTCCTATTCAACAAATTTCCTCAGTTTATGCGACAACTTACTACTAAACCTATGACATTAACGTTATTATTGTAAGTCTGGATAATGCATTATTAGTGTTAACCACTTCCATATGTGAATACCTTGCGTTTATCTCATTACTAATTTCGTCTGTATGAAACACTTAATGAAGACACGTTTTTGTGATAAAGTGTGTACTTCCACCAATTAAAATACTTTACTACTGTCCTAGATTTAATTAGGCAATTTCTACCAATCATAAGTAGGCTAAGTGGGACAACACTGATTGGTAAATTTTTTTAACGCGGACATACGAAAATAAGAATCGCCGGTGTTGGTTGCATTGTATGGCAACTGTACAACTAGTTTTGTTGTACATACTTCCGAATACTCATATTATATAAAATACAAGCTGGAAAAAGCTTTCTGAATAATTTTGTGAATAGTTATTTCTCATTATAAAATCTAACAGATGGGATCTTACAACATAAACTGACCCAGGCTACAAATATATGCGAGATATTGAAGAGCCAAGTGACTTGATGTTCTCAGTTGAAAATATTTTCGGGGAACAGAACTAACTTTGTGTATAGTATCCTCAATTTCATTTATTACTGAAGTTTGTAAAAATATACGAACGGTGTGTACATATATACATGCATACATTATCATCATCATCATCACCATAATAATAAGATTTCTTTTTTCTGCCATGCTGTTATAAAATGGAATATTCATGTACAAATGCTCAAATTAGGAATTCCCTTCACACCATTTTTTCAACCAGATGATCATACTGACCAGTGGTATCTACTAACGCGTGTATCAATTCCCTCGACAAAATCAGTCGTAAAAACACGTTTGGATTATATTTTTTTATTGATTTTTATTCTTATGTGTGATATGTGCTCAACTACCTCGATTAACATACCATTCACTAACACTAATATTACTGATAAGAACCATGAAGTTAGTAGAGTTATTAATAGTACTAGTAATAATAATCACAATGGTGTAAATGAGAAATCTTTTGCGAAAAGATTAGTTACCAGATCTTTCTCATTATTATCTGCCTCACTAATGTATGATAATTCACAGTCACTGGCATACTTAACTCCAATCACATTCACTGTAAATGAAAATACACCGATTTCAACTATTATTGGTTATATACCAGAATTAATTTATCCCTCGCTTACAAGAGACATTAAATTTACACTTCCACAGAATACATTTTTTGAAATTGACTCTAAGGGCAGCCTACGTGTTATCGGTGAGCTAGACAGAGATGATAATCCTCAGTTATGCATTGAACCAGGCTATCCACAACAGTGTATATGGAGTAGTTTTGCTATTACAACAGACGGTCAGTATATTGGGCTACGGATAACAATTAATGATCTAAATGATAACATTCCTAAATGGCCTCAATTATTTATTGTAATTAATGTACAGGAAGAAGTGAAAATTAAACAGAATTTTGAACTCCCTCTTGCTAATGACCCCGATTATGGCATAAATTCAATTCAGGAATATAAACTAAGAGTTAATGAAGCAGAAGCTAAATACTTTAAGTTAATTGTAGAGAAGAATAGTGTTAAAAATTTAAGTTTGTTCAATTTTCACTTGGTATTAAGTGTCATTGGAACATTAGACCGTGAACGTCAAGCATGGTATAATTTAAGTTTGTTAGCGATAGATGGTAGTAAACCATATAATACAGGTACGCTTGAAATAACTATTCACATAACTGATGAGAATGATCATTCACCGATCTTTTCAAGTCAATTCTACCAAGCTGTAATATCTGAAGATTTGGAGATAGGCAGTATGATATATCTATCAGAAAATAATGAAACATTGGACAATATTGACCCATTAGGCATTCTTAGTGATGATTCATCAACTAAGCATATTAAAAAGTATCAAATACATGCTACAGATCCTGATGAAGGCATAAATGGTGAAATTGAATACTACTATGCAACTTCAACACCTAAATCAGTACTAGAAAATTTTGAATTGGATAAGCATACAGGTTTATTATATATAGCTAAAGCATTGAATTATGACATTGGACCAAATGAATGGAACTTTCAAGTGATTGCATCAGATAAAGGACGTCCAGCCAGATCAAGTACTACCACTGTAGCAATTCGCCTAAATGATGCTAATACACATGCACCGACAATTAAATCACGCATACAATTGACAGAGAATTATAAAACACATTTAAAAAGGTTGAATGTAGACTATTCACTTAACAATGAGAGTATATTACACATACCAGAGAATGTAAAACATACAAATGAACCATTGGTTGTATTAACAGTTAGTGATAAAGATACAGGCTTAGGTGGATCATTTCTATGTTATCTGAATTCCTTTGACAGCAAATCCTTTCTTAAAGCTGATAATATAATGAATATACCAAATCATATTGATTCTAATGATTATATAGTTAGTCAGTTGAATAGAGAAGAGTTTCGCCTAGATTTCACTGGAAAATTACCTAAATGGAAAGTATATAGTTTATATGCTATTACAACATTTGACCGTGAATATGATCCAATACGTCAACTGCATATAATATGCACAGATGATGGTTCTCCGAAAATGACATCCACATATACATTGACAGTTTATATTGCAGATGAAAATGATAATCCACCAGAATTCACTGAGGATCAATATAAAATTCATGTAAGTCTTGAATATTGAACTTACATTTTAAAAATTTTTTTAATAGTATGAAAAACAAAATTACCGAAATGAATGAACGAACGTTTGTAATACTCGCATCAACAATTAACTAACTACTTTCATCAAATTATTAGAATAAATAATAAGGAATAGAAAAAAAAATACACATTTCAAGGTAGAAAGTGGTGAAAATATCAGTCAGAGAACTAGTGAAAACCTGGAATCATTAAACAACTCTTTTATCCTAGTATAGAACTCCTCAGCAGTATTTCTACTCAGTGACTAATTGGTTACCACATTCAGTGCAACAAATGGAAGCCCTGAGTTCTACCTCTGGTGGCATCATGGATAGTCACTGCTGAGAAATGCCATACTAGGACGAAATTACTATCCAGTGGTCCCGAGTTTTCAATATTTCACCAGTTGATTTATATGTTGTATACTATGTTGAAACAAATAAAAGCCATGAACCGAATCAAAATAATAGTTTACCAGATGTCACTTTTAGGACCTTATGTCTTCTAATCTAAGCAAATAATTTAACTTTGTTTATATGATTAATTTAAATGTCAACATTTCATTTTCAGAGGGTTAGACCAATGATAGCTGAACACTTAGTGAATTTTTAATAAACCAATGAAAAAGTGAATCTATCCAAATGCATAAAAAGGTATTTGATTTTAGTTGATTTACTGGATTGCATTGTGGACATAGTTTATCGTCCATAGTCATCTGAAGATAACCCTACAACTTTACAAACTAATTTGCATAGTTCTGACTTTCCCGCCTCCTTTTCTATGTGTATAGTTGGATTTTTATTATAAACTCAACAGGTGCGGGAAAATTAGAACGATATAAATCAAATCTCAAAGTTGTTGAGTTATCTTGACATAACTATGGACAGTAAGTGGTGTCCAAAACGTAATCTAGTAAATAATACTGACGAATCCGACAGGTCAACTGAAATGGGATTACATTTCTGGAATCGATCAGGTTATTAGAAGTTATTGATACTCTACTATTCATGATTTATAAAAGTTATTTTTCATCAGTGCGAACAGGTATACTTTCGAACCAATCAAGTCAGAATTGTCAAGTAAGTAATATCGTACTGTTTGTACAACCTTTTGGATACTTTTGCAAAGAAGTAAATCCAGTCATAAATGAAAAAACGCTTCCATATGCTTCAGTAACATCATACTAAACAAGGTTTGCATTAGAAGAATTGACTGCAGTGAAAATTGAGGATTAAACCAATAGGGCGCCAAAAAGAGGATTGCTACACGCTAACATTTCAGTAATATTTTTAAGTATTTTAACGTTTAACATATGAGAAAATGCAGATTCTCTTCGGCTTCAGTTTTGTTGACGCAGTAGTTCTGAAATCATTTCATATAATTCACTCCATTCATTCTCTTTAAGTCTGACGTCTTGGATTATAAACAAGTCTTAGCTCGATGCATTGTTATGAAACATTTTTATTATTGTCGCTGAATCTGTTCTCAAATTTTACTTGGCTTTTTCGCATTCAACTAACTTCAAGAGATTTAATACCGATAGTGATGTTGCATAGTGGCTACTCTTGGAATAAAGGACGCGCGATTTGTTCCATTTGAGATTTAATAGTTAGATGTACCTGCCTCCCAGTTAGTGACTCAGTTGGATAGTAAATAACGCTCTGGCGTTTAAAGAGATCAGTCTAGGATTCCAGTTTAACCTGAAACAAAAGCATTATCTGCCGTTACTATCCAACTAAAATTAGAGACGATTCAAAAATATTCGCGCAGGAGCCCTGCACCCCAGTGATGTTGTTCCCCCTGGGACTCGAAACTCGTGTTCATCGCTTCAAACGCCAAGGTGTTACCCACTATGCCACGTTGCAGGTACATCCAGCTGACGAGTCCCAAATAGGATGAAACACGCGTTCTGGTTTCTTCTGCTAGCCACAACCAACCAATTTATCATAATTAATATTCAGGCAATATCGAGGTGTCCGCATAGGAGCCCATATGCTAATAGAGGTCGAACAATTCTATCCAACAAAACAACGAAGAATAACAAGTATGTCAATAAATAGTAATAATACGTGGTTTGCTGATGAAAACAGGAATACAATTTGATCGTGTGTTATTTTTGTGCCTACTGGCAGACTGACTGAGGCACATAATTGGTTACTGGTTGATTAGTTAATGTCATGACCTGGGTGGAAAGGAACCTCATTTTACACTGAAATTTTGAAATACAGTATACGAGAAACAAATCCTCAATTAACTCCGAAGAACTTTAGGGCATATTTTGATGCAACAACTCAGTTACAAGTTTGGCGTTGGTTTTCTGGATAGACCAGTGTCTAAGAAGTCTAATTGAACATCTGTTTTTTCTATTTGTACTACAAATAATTAATTCCATCCGTCTATCTTGCAATTAGCTGGAAGTATGTTGACTTCAGGAATATGACCTAGTGAAACAGAAATATTTTCAGTTGGTGGAGTACTGAGTCGGTCATTTGGAGGCCAATGGTTCAGATCCTACCGCTACCCAGATTTTCACTTCATCTCCAATCATCACGCAGTATCAGCGACACAAATTTTCCAAGCTATGGCTATAACATATAGTCAAACTGATATTGACAAACTAGTTTATCATGTATTCGATGGCTAAAAGTGTTTTTTTTAAAAATTCACTTATTAGGATCTCAGCCAGCAGTCTAATCAAAATAATAAAAACTCTCCCTGTATAAAACAGATAATAAAATCCATGGAACCACAGAATGCTTGATGCCGTTAACCAATAACTAATGCAAGGCAGGAAGAGAAAAAAAGTAGTTCATTGAGGAAACTTTTTTCGATGATTTCATTCACTAAGCCTGACAATTCCTGGAGGGGTCATGCGAGCGCACTACTGGAGAGTTCCATAATCAGAGAAAACGGCCTCTGAGTGCTTACAAATTTCCACCGTCTCCTCAGCCTATATCAGTCAATGGTGGATACCAATCTGAAATCAGTAAATAAATTCTTACAAACCTTCAAAGTGAATTTATCTAATACTCACTGGTGACTAGCTACAAGAGGTTATTCGCGAAGTTCTAATGACAAGTTGTAACCGGTGGAGATATAGACCTCTCAAATTACATGTATATCGAAGTATCATTTTTTCATCATAAAATAATCGAAATTTTTACAAACGGTAAACATTGATCGAAAGGTTTGACAACAAGCAAAATTAGGTTGTCACAACGTAGACTCAACTTCGTCTATTTTTTAAAGTGCAAATTTTCGAACATTTAAGTAAGGGATTTTGTATACAGAACAACCTTAGAAGTATAACTGAAGACTGGTAAAGGGGCAAATAATATCAGCTACTAAGTATGCTTTTAAGTATAGATAAAAAGTTAGGTATTACTCTGTGGCTTCAATTGTTCTGAATCTCATTTGGACAAAACGTCAAACCATGCTGAAATTTCAACTTGTAGGTTTGTGAGAAATAATCTGTTAATTGCAAGTTAATATTTATCACGGGTTAAAATCAGTTAGGGAAAAAAATGAAAATCTGGAAGCACTGGGCAGACGCTTCGTCCTCGTATGGGAAGCCCTAGCAGCGTGCACTCAACCAAATCAGGTGTTGAAAACAAGACCTTCAGATCTCGCAGTAAGCACGTTACCACTGAGCCACCAAGTTGGAATCCAGTGATTTACGATCTCCTTCTCCTGTCATTTCCTGGTAAGGTACGACGTTTTATCCAAAGCCACCGTTGAGTAACAGTCATTACGTCCTACTTAATTTGTACCGCCGGTCACATCTGACTAGAACTTCGATTATCTCATTTCCAAGAAATTCGTGAATGGTTCAGTTTCAACTTACGTTTTGAAATCCACGGAAATGTTTATAGAGATCAACAACTACCAGAGATAGTCATGATTTAGCAAACTGTTACTACTGATATTGGGTGTTGATTGAAAGTAAACAGATACGCGCTCCTCCTCTCCAATCTACCTCTATTTGGACTAAGATAAGAACAACTGTCTAGCCAGTGGAATTATGATGAACGGACAGTTGCACTTCATGGATTCATATGGTAATCAAGCAAAAACTCTCAGTGACTGAAGCAAAGTTAGGATATGGTAAGTACTTATGTTTCTCACCTTCGGTGAAAATAGTTCAAATCTCACTGCGTTTAAAGTTTTCACTTCAAATCCAGTCATCACTCAATAGCAATAGCAATCAATGCACAAACCAACCAGTCAGTAAAGATGTTTTTATGACACTTTTGCCATCCAGAAACAAGCTAAATAACGTTTCATAACTTCCCTGCTAATTAATCAAATATATATATGTTTGCATCAAGTATGTTAATTTACTGCTGATTAGATGGCAATTTGTTGTGTTTGGAACAACGCATACTGACTAACATCTGTTCTTCCAGGTGAAGGGTTGAAAAACACTCTTTAAGTTGATGAAACTACTGAAATAACTGTCTCTGACTATTTACAAGTTTTCTTTATGTACGCACAGTATCACAGAATGTAAAAACTCTCGTTTCACTGGTGTATGTAGGCTGCATTGAGATGAATACGTAAAATATTGCAAGACAGTGACATGCGCCTACCTTATGGAAAATGCTAGTGACAAGCGAAACATTGAATAACTTCATGCTTTCATTTAACTGATTCTGTACAACAGTTTTACGCATGTGTATCAACATGTGCAGATAAGGTCATTTTAAATATTGTTGTAATGAATAGTGTTTTTCATTTGTCATTTATCACACTTTTACCGTACGCAAGCAAGTCTCGCTTTGTAGAAGTCTTGTAAACGTAAAAACATCACCGAGAAACTAATAATAATAACAATCTTATGAAAATAAGGTTTCGAATCACTTACGTTTCGATAGTAAAAATGGTGCAAATGTATCTCAGTTTATACATCTCTTCACATACATTTTACTGAGTATATTAGCTTACCATCTGGTCACTGGATGTAACCGATTCCACTGGTCTGCA